CTGGTTATCTCCGAGACCGCCTTCTGCCACAGATTGCCTCTCATCGGCCGGTACGCTCCCACAGAGAGGGTCTCCTCAGGGTGCCGTCAGCCAGACAGTGCCGGCTGGCGACCCCCAGGGGGAGGGCCTTCTCTGTTGGAGCCCCCTCCCTATGGAACGAACTACCCCCAGAGATCCGGGTCATTCCGGATCTCCCCTCTTTCCGCCGCGCCCTCAAGACATGGCTATTCCAGCTAGCGGGGCTGGCCTGAGGGGTATTTTAGATTGGATTTTAATTTGATTTTATATTGGATGTTCACAAAATTTTAAATGAAACGGCAAAATTAATATTTCTTTTAATTGTATTTTAAAATGGTGTTTGTAAGGTCTTTATCTGTTTTTAGCTTGCTGTAAGCCGCCCTGGGTCCGCCAGGAGAAGGGCGGGGTATAAATCTAATAAAATCTAAAATCTAAACTGCCTATTAACTCCAACGCCATGTGCCTTGGCTTGTGAACTTCACAACCCTGACTTTAAACCTGGACCAGTTGACAAATCTTTTACAAGATTGATCTCAGATTCCACCTAACTATTCGTCAGCATGCCACTTTGATTTGGAACATTTTTAAGCCAAACTTGCTGAACTTTGGGGAAAAAGTTGTCTCTGTGCTGAAACTCTCATTTAGTAAAGAGAACAAAACTACCCTGTCATGTATTTGTATGTGGGCTTGGCCTGCGACAGGACACTTCATACTTTGCAAAAGGCAGAGTGGACTAAGGTAGCATTCTTTACAACAGGGGTCTGCGGCGAGGAAGAGGCAAGCACACAAAGCTCCATTTGCGCAAGCGGTGGGCACGCACGTGAAACCATCCCCTCCCCCCCACCTGCAGCCACCGCTGCTGGTCCATGGAGCTGAAAAGGTTGGAGAGTGCTGCCTTACAAGATCTTAATTCACAGAAATGTAGACTTTAGACAGTCAAAGAACAGGAAGAAGAGAATACAAATGGTAGACAATTTTCATGTTGACACCAAAAAAGTATCCAAACTGCCTTGTCCAACCTGACAGTGATGGATCAGCAAAGGGATTTTGAAATTCAATGCAATATTCAGTGGAAATACCGTCAGCTCCAGGTAAAGGATTGGGATTGAGGCTGCAGAGACTGTCAGCTCTCATTTCCTGCAAAATTGGGTCAGGGAGCTTTAGAAGAATAAGCAAAGCATTTGTCGATGTTCCCCTCCTTCCTTAATAATGTGAAATGTTCCACTTTCCCCTTCCAGAAAGCTTCATGGGTGATTCTTCCAATTTTGTTGCCTTTGCTTCTTCCACCCATGAAGGCCCAAAGGATGGGGAGGATAGAAAGATAGGAGCATTTCACGATTCAAGGCGGAGGAATGCTTTGTCCTAAATGCCATCCCGCAAACTCAAAGTAACTTCCTTTCATGTAAAAATGCAGCCTGCTCCTGTCTTTTTGCTGGCATATTATTTTTCTTCTTCAAGACATTATTTAATGCATAGAAGAACTAAAGGTAGAATTCCCACCTGCCTGCATTTCTAAGATGTAAAGGAGTGATAATAATTCATTTAGTGACCATATGAAATTACAGTGGCACTGAAAGAAGTGACCTTTGACTGTTTTTCACACAACCATTGAAGCATCCCCATAGTCATGTGATCAAAATTTGGACACTTCGCAACTGGTATGTATTTATGATGGTCACATTGTCCCAGTGTCATGTGATTACTTTTTGTAACCTTCTGATAAGCAAAAAAAGATGTTGAGACTCTAGAAAGAGTACAGAGAAGAGCAACAAAGATGATTAGGGGACTGGAGGCTAAAGCATATAAGGAACGGCTGCTGGAATTGGGTATGTCTAGTTTAATGAAGAGAAGGACGAGGGGGGACATGATAGCCGTCTTCCAATATCTCAGGGGCTGCCACAAAGAAGAGGGAGTCAAGATATTCTCCAAAGCGCCTGCAGGCAGGACAAGAAGCATCGGATGGGAACTAATCAAGGAGAGAAGCAACCTAGAACTAAGGAGAAACTTCCTGACAGTTAGAACAATTAACCAGTGGAACAATCTGCCTCCAGAAGCAATGAATGCTCCAACACTGGAAGTTTTTAAGAAGAGACTGGACAGCCATTTGTCTGAAATGGTATAGGGTTTCCTGCCTGAGCAGGGAGTTCGACTCGATGACCTCCAAGCTCCCTTCCAACATTATTATTGTTGTTGTTGTTGTTGTTGTTGTTGTTGTTGTTGTTCTTCTTCTTCTTCTTCTTCTTCTTCTTCTTCTTCTTCTTCTTCTTCTTCTTCTTCTTCTTCTTCTTCTTCTTCTTCTTCTTCTTCTTCTTCTTCTTCTTCTTCTTCTTCTTCTTCTTCTTCTTCTTCTTCTTCTTCTTGTTGTCAATGGGGAAGCCAGATTCACTTTACAACTGTGTTACTAACTTAACTGCAGTGATTCACTAAAGAACTGCAGCAAGGAAGGCCATAAAATGGGGCAAAACTCACTTAACATCTGTCTTGCTTAGCAATAGAAATTTTGGACTGAATTGTAGTAAGTCAAGGACTACCTGTATGGGTCACTCATAGAAGGACCACTGTGCATCTACTATAGAAGAAATGTGTAAAGAACTGTTACTTTCTCTGGACATCTCCCCAAAGTATCTCATCCAAACCTTTCCTCAGCAGAGCCTCCTTCCCATAGTTGATGCGCCTCCTCAGCATCTCAATGCAAGTTTCCTCCAGGTAGTATTTTATGTGCTTGGCAACTGATGGCTCCCCTTCCAACTTTCTCTTGGACAGCTGAGCTGCCACATCAAAGGCTGTCCAGCTGAGCGTCTCCTTGTCAAAGCTGATAAAAGTCCTCCCATCATAACTGTCCTGGTCAGAACCTCCTCGTAGCCAATCATTGTTCAGTTCACAACCATACCTCCACTGCAAGGTGTGAAACCCTGAGGAGACACACAAGGAAGCAGAGATATTAGAGTGGATTTGACTGCCTTGGTGATGGACACACGTTGGAAGACATGAAGGGCCAGGTTGGGGATAAATCGTTCTGAAGAACGTCAATATGGTCACTACGAATCAAGCCTGATAGATTTATTTGATAGAGTGAACTGTTCTCCCCTATGAAAATATCAGAAAGGTTTTTTCTCAGGAGGTTTTTTTCTTTAACCACCCAACCCCATATTCCGGACCCTCTTCCAACTCTCCCTATAGCAAAGAGGAGCAGGATTTGAATGTCTGAATGGAGAAGCATATCTGACTTTTCTAACTTTCCTTTCTGCAGCAGCAATTCCCCTCCCTCCCCTTCTGCTGCAGAGATGGAGACCCCCTGCCCTTCCCCCCACAACTACTCACCCTCACTGTGGTTGTAGTACTTCTGTAGGGTTACCAGGTTTCTCCCAAAGTCCTGCTCTGCCTTCTGTGCTATTCCAGTGTATTCCTCCCAAAGGGGCTCCTCTTTTTTCACCTTCTCCATCCAAGGCACTAGAGAGTGATACTCCTTTGTATTGCTGTCATAGTGAGCAATGGGCTGGTCATTCATAGACTCCAGGATGCTGAATTGGGGAAGCCCCTGGCTGGGTTCTGAGACGAAGGTATAGGAATAGTAGAGGGAGTGCCAGGAGGAGGAGGCTGTAGGTAGGAAAGAGGACCGAGTTATGGGGATCTGCAGACTGACTCTCTCTCCCATACTGCTCTCCAGGTGAATGTGCAAAGAGCCCCTTCTCTTATGTCAGAATTTGGGCTGAGGTGAAGAGGGGAGAGCTCTCCATCTCATGATTGGCACACTGAAAAACTAATTTTGATGGGTATACACTATACAGGAACCAATAGTAATAGCAATAGCACTTAGACTTATATACTGCTTCACAGTGCTTTACAGTCCTCTCTAAGCAGTTTACAGAGTCAGCATATTGCCCCCAACAATCTGGGTCCTCATTTTACCGACCGTGGAAGGATGGAAGGCTGAGTCAACCTTGAGCTGGTGAGACTCGAACTGCCGGCAGCTGGCAGTCAGCAGAAGGAGCCTGCAGTACTGCATTCTAACCAGGGCTCTTCCAATAGTTTTGCAAAGTTGTAATAACCTCAATTATCATCCTGTGCCAACAGTGAAATACATTTCGAAACCTTATGACATATTTATTTTCTGAGTTCAATGTTGGAGCAGCGATTTAAATGGTGGTTAAGATAAATCCATTAGTGGGTGGAAAACTGATCCTGGATAGATAAAAAAAATAAAACGGTCCAATTATGGTGCTTTCCTGAGAAGAAGATGATCTTGAAATTTGGCTAATTCTCCCAAAGAAAGAGTAGATCTTTTTTTTTGGGGGGGGGCATAGTTGTATGATAGAAATGCTGCAATGCCCAGCTTCTTCATTTCTCACATTGGAGTGGCTGACTGTTGAAACCTCAGTTGTTTCTTCAGGTTTAGTGTCATGTGTGAACTCTCCATTCTCCCAACATCCCAAGAATGGCATTGTGGGTCAGCCACTCTAACAGAAGGAAGGGAAGTAAAAGTATTACAAGCCTGAGAGAGAGAGACATACGAGGCTGCACCGGAGAGCCTCTTTCCTTTTCCTCCAGTTTCTGGAAGCAAATGGCAAGGGAGGGAGGGAGGAAGAAGGTCCTATGAGGGACAGAGGAGGAATTGAAGGCCAGAGTCCAACTGGCTGGGAAGAGGTCTTGTACGCTTTTAACAGAATAACAGAGTCAGAAGGGACCTTGGAGGTCTTGCAGGCCAATCCCCTGCTGAAGCAGGAGGTCCCATGCCATTCTGGACAAATGGCTGCCCAATCTCTTCTTAAAAATCTCTAGTGATGGAGCACCCATGACTTCTGGAGACAAGCCTTTCCATTGGTTAATTGTTCTAAATTAACTAAGGAAATTTCTCCTTAGTTCTAGGTTGCTTCTCTCCTTGATTAGTTTCCATCCATTGCTTCTTGTCCTGCCTTCAGGTGCTTTGGAGAATAGTCCTAGTGGACAATCACTTAAATATGAACCAGCACTGGGCTGCAGCTGCCAAAACAGCCAACACAGTGCTAGGCCGCATTAACAGAGGGATAGAATCAAGATCATGTGAAGTGTATTAATACCGCTTTACAATGCCTTGGTAAAGCCACACTTGGAATAGTGCATCCAGTTGTGGTCACCACAATGTAAAAAAGATGTTGAGACTCTAAAAAGAGTGCAGAGAAGAGCAACAAAGATGGCTAGGGGACTGGAGGCTAAAACATATAAAGAACAGTTGCTGGAATTGAGTATGTCAAGTTTAATGAAGAGAAGGACTAGGGGTGACATGATAGCAGTCCTCCAATATCTCAGGGGCTGCCCACAAAGACGAGGGAGTCAAGCTATTCTCCAAAGCACCTAAAGGCAGGACAAGAAGCAACGGATGGAAACTAACCAAAGAAAGAAGCAACCTAGAACTAAGGAGAAATTTCCTGTTAAAATAATTAACCAGTGGAACAACTTGCCTCCAGAAGTTGTGAATGCTCCAATACTGGAAGTTTTTAAGAAGAGACTGGACAACATTTTGTCTGAAATGGTATAGGGTTTCCTGCCTGAGCAGGGGGTTGGACTAGAAGACCTCCAAGGTGCCTTCCAACTCAATAGTAGCTGTTGTTGTTGTTGTTGTTATTATTAACCCCCTCTTCTTTGTGATAGCCCTTCAAATATTGGAATGCTGCTATCATGTCACCCCTAGTCCTTCTTTTCACTGAACTACACTTAGTTCCTCTTCTTTAAACAGGGATCCCCTTTGTCTCCTTGTTGCTTGAGGCAGCCAGGCAGATTTTCAGATCTTCTGTTGAGTTTTCTCTCCGTCCTTTGATAGGCCCCAACAGCTGCATTTCACACAGAGAATCACCAGGCCTGAGATGGGAGCAAATCCTGCCTTCCCTCCCTCTTCCAGGATACTCACCCCAACAGTCCTCCATCAGGAGAGCCAGGAATATCAGGATCAAAATTGGTCCTGTCCGGGAGGATCCTGCTAGGCTTGGGCAGCTTGTGTTCCTTTCATGGCTGAGAGGTGGAAATGGCTCAAGAAGAGTCACGGAAGAGCCTTCTGCAGTCAAACATGAGCTCATGATGATGGAAATCCGGGAAGCTGAAAAGAGAAACCGAGCACAAAATGAACGTTTTTGGAAATTAGCACTCCTTTTCCCTCGCACCACATGCACACCCCTTCTTCCATTCCTAGGGTTCTGCCCCCATTCTCTCCTAAACTTGCAAAGTCTCTAATCCGTGCTGTAGAACACAGATGCCCCATGGTTAGTAATGGCACTGACCAAGGCAGTTCATAGCCACTGAAATCCTACCCTCCTCTAGCACTTAGCCAAGCTAGTTCCTTCTGATCCCAAGGGATCCCAAAGCTCTCTGCATGAAGAGCCATTCAGGGATGCTGCATTAATGAGATGTAACATCCCACCCCAGGACAACAGCTGCCTCCTGGCTAATTCATTTCATGTTATCATGCCACATGCTTTCTTTCTATTGTCTGAATAATTTGGGGTCCCAATCTGAGCTAGGGTTGCACAAATCAGAATGAAATTCAGACACTCTGTGTGGAAAGGAGACTTATTCATTTCCAAAACAAAGAGGTTTGCTTTTAGGGGTAGCCACACATTAGGGATTGTTGAATGAAATTCTTCATCGTGGTTCAGTCCAAGCCGGGAATAAACAACATAGTGGCTGCTTTAGAAAGGTTGCAGTTTATTGAAGAGGAGAGCCAGATAGGAAGATGGGTTTGGAAGAAAAGAAAGTGAGCACATGTAGGGAGTGGGTTTTTATACCCTCTGGGGCTCTTGAGATTGTTTCCTGTTCCTGTTTGAGGTTTTGTATTTCTTGTGTCATATATTCTGACCTGAGTCTGGGTGTGCCCTTTGGCATCTGTGGGTTAATTCTATTATGTCCTGCCTTAGAGTTTGGGTGGGGTATGTAGATTTTAGGTGTCTTTGTCTTCTTAATCTTCCAGCTTCAGCCTTCCTGAATGGTTTACATCTGCATTTCTATAGAGCTAATTTCTGCTTGGGGGAGGGAGACTTAGGGCTATTAAGAAAACTGGGCATGCTTTTCTGCCTCTTTAAGATCCTTTGAGGAAATATATTTTTCTGCTCTTTTAATATTTCCTTCTCTGCGGGGCTGACTTCCCATAGGATGTACAAGTAGGGATTTAAAATGACAAGAAGCTTTGATGTTTAGATATAAGGACTGAGGTATTTCTGCTCTGGGCTTTGTTTATGAGGTGTATGTTAGATGTGTATATCTCAATATTATCCCGAGGATGCGTGAATTTGGGGGAGATGGAAGATCACCCTCGGATGTGTAGATGCCTTTCTAAGTGTACATTTATTGGGAGGGAGGGTCTGACATTGTGATTTTATCTTTGAGGAGGTTCCATTTCCCTGATGCCTTTAATCATTTCCTTTCTTTTGAAAATTGCTGATGGATCAAAGGTGGTTTAGGAAATGTGTGATCTGGCTAAGGGTAATTGAGACAGTATGAGGAATAAAGTTAAGAGGGGAGAATGATTTGTTATAATTTTCCCAACTGCCTACCTTCCCCTTGTAGGGTCTTCCCATATTTATGCTGCAAGAAAAAAATCCTTCATCTGCCTTCCCTATCTGTCTATAAATGCCTGTCTCCTGGAGGAACTTGCTGTAAATGGTTACCTTATATTAGACTACAGGAAGATGAGGATTAATGCTGACTAGAGAGAATGAAAAGATGTACAAAAGAGATGGTTTGCATCCATCAAAGAAAGGGGCTGAGTTACTCGGCTATAAATTCACAGATTTTCTGGAGGAAAATTTAAACTAAACAGCGGAGACAGTGAGTTAATTGATAGAGAACACCCTGTCCCCAGCAATTTAAAAATTATAGGGCTATCAGTGCATGTAACATAGATGTGTGTGTGGACAAGAATACCAACCTTGCTGTCAAGCAAAATCAAGCCTCTAATAGCGAGTGCCACACAAAGTGCACTAACCAAATAGGTGGTAAGACAATAGGGAACTCAGGCACCACACAGGTTATGTAGAAAGTAAACACAGGGTCAGTCATAAAGGACTCAAATGTCTATATACCAATGCACAGAGTATAAACAGCAAACAGGGTGAACTAGAAATTCAGGTTAATGAGGGCAGATATGATATTGTTGCCATTACGGAAACATGGTGGGATGAAACCCACCCATGGAACACACAGCTAGAGAGATTTAAATTATTTAAAAGAAACAGACCAAATAAAAGAGGAGATGGAGTTGCTCTCTATATAAGAAATAACTATATCTCTACAGAAATAGAGCACAACAATGATGAAAATTGTCTTGAATGCATTTGGGTCAATATTAAAAAAAGGGGGGGAATGACATTGCCACAGGTGTATACTAAAGGCCACCCAACCAAACACAGGAAATAGATGAACTTTTTGCTAGTCAGCTAACTAAGGTATGTAGGAAGCACATCACAATAGTAATGGGGGACTTTAACTACCCTGACATCAAATGGGAGATAAACTCTGCACCAAGTGGAAGATCAAACAGATTCCTTGCAAACCTAGCAGACAACTTTGTCTCCCAAAAAGTAGAGAAGGGAACTAGGGGATTAGCCATTTTGGATCTAATTCTCACTAAC